ATACTTTTCATAAAAGTTCTCATACATCAAAAAATCTACAGATCCCAATAAAATAACTTTCTGTTATGTCCAAGTTCACATGCAAGTTTTATTTTCTTACTATTAGTCAGCTTACTGTGCTTTGCTTTAAGAGTTCAGAATGCAAGCTGTAATACTAGTAACACTTTATTACTTTTTGAAAGTTATACAAACACTTTTTCAACAAACTCATAATGATAAAAAGGATATATAAAAACTTGGTACATCTTTTGTTTCTCTGCTTTGGAAAATATCACTTTTCAACAGTACAGCTGGACTAAAATGAGGCAAAAAAAGATCAAGTTTTATTTTAAAGTAATGAAGAACAATTCAAAAAGAAAAAGACTGATCAAATCTTACTGATGGTGAATTTTGATAATGAGAATGTGTTATTTTTCATTTTTTAAAATAAAAACATAAGAATGAAGTGAGTGACAGAAGGACACTTGACCCAGAAATCACTGCTCTTAAACCATATACATGTTTCAATAAACCACATGTTAATAATGCCAAGCCTTGTTTTATTAAAATGATTTGAACAACTATATGACTGGTAGGCACGACTAAAGAATAATTTGCTTGAAAACAGTACAGACGGAGAATATCCAAGGTTTTAATTCTAAAATTCAAATCATACCTTATGATTATAGTTGGGAACCACACAGGACTATAATGTACTCAAAACTACTGCTAATCTACAACACTTAAGGGCTAAACACATAAAACATATTGCAGAGGTAAAGGAAGTAAATGCACTTACCAGTTATAAGGAAGTATATTTAGTATTATGTTGTGTACTAAATTAGTTCACACACACTTTGTTAGAGGAATGATAAATACGTAAGTTTTTGTGCAGTTTTGCAAAAATATTTCAAAACAAACCAACACTATCTTTGATTAGAGGAAAATATTCAAGGTTATAGTAACAGTTTTAGGTATTAGATTTCAATAAAACTTTCTTGCTCTTCAAGTCGTTTAAATATCTGTAATCAGTTTGATAGAAGAAATGATAAAAGCCTATGATAGATATATTTACTTTTAGATAACTACAGAATTTGAACTAAAAATTTCACTTGTGCAATTAACTGTGGATAGTGTGTTGCTTACCTTGATTATGTATCAACTATCAATTAATACTAAAACTCATTATATACACAAACACTGTCATGCTCTTTGCGAGTCAATATGATATACGACTTCACTATTATATATTAAATAATTAATCAAGTCACATTATCTACCAATATTTTGACTTGGTAAATTTGGGACAAAATGTAAAAGTTAATCTTTGAACTTCATGCTTATGCATAGAATTAGAAACCAAGCATGAAAATATACTTTACATATGTTAAGCAATCAAATTTTTAAGTTGTCTTGCACAGTTGATTTAAGTACCTCTCATCTATTTTTTATTGATGCCAAAAAGTAATGTCTTTACTTCTAAATACTAAATGTTCATTTTTCACCTGTAACAGTGCAAGCCGAATCTTTTACCTATCAAAATATTACTATAATAGCTACATGACAAATATCTACCACTTAATTATAAAATTTTTCTCTACAAGTAGAACTTGTATGATTATGAACTGTGATTTATCACCTACAACATAACAATGACACAATGTCAGTACTTCAGTAAAATATCAAAAAATAAAGTTAAAGGAGCATTAAGCTTTGCCTGTAATAATCATTGTATTTAATACAAAAGCTCTAATAGTAATAGTATATCCTTACACCCATGACTATACCAAAATTAAACCCTGCAACTGTTTACCTTATTAATTACTTGAAATGAAAATAGATCATAAGGAGTTTCACTATCAGATTCTGATGGATATCTTTCTAGATTAATTGAGATATATTGGGTTGTTGATGAAAAGGATATTCATATTATTTTCCAAATTTTAAATCCTCCTGCTTAGGTTTTACCGTGTCAAAAGTGAGAATGTTTCTACTTTGTATAAAATTCTTGTCAATACTGTTTTCAGTCTTGGTTTCACTTACATTAAAACAGGAACCGAGGAAAGATACTGATTATCGTATTTTCTGTCCAACAACTTATGTCATTATAAAGTAGTAATAGTAATACTACTAGTACTACTTAATAGCCATACTACTTTCACTGTAACATTAACAGCGAGATTCCTACTGCACACTGTAATAACTAGTATTAGTATTACTAATACTCTATACTAATACTAATAGCTCTAGCACGAATTTAAGGTATTAATAACATCATTAAACTATTAGTAGTTATACAACATAAAACGTGAATACGTAACAAGTCTAAAAGTGCGATGCAAAAAATATTACACTTAATGACTAGTGTTTTGAAAAATAATGTATCAAAATTTCTTGTTTACACGTGAACAACATGAATTATGATGAAAAATATTTCAGACTATGAATATTTCGAATTAGTTCACACACACTCTGTTAGAGGGATGTTAGTTTTTGTGCAGTTTTGTGTTTGTTTGTTTGGAGTTACGCACAAAGCTACATAATGGGCTATCTGTACTCTTCCCACCACGGGTATCGAGAAAGTTCTAAAACAAACTGACACTATATTTTCATATTTTTGTCGAAAAATTCATTTTCGCTATACTTTATGTTACTCACTCTTTAAGCCTTTAATATTAACAAATGTAAATTAAAAAAATTAAGTAATTGTATATTTAAACAAGTTATAGTGGATACAGCAACTTATCTAGAGTAGATCTGGGGTTTTAATGACTACTGAAAAGGTTAAATGGTAACGAATGAACGAAAAACTATTACTGATGTCATTTGGCAGGGATATACGAAACAAATTTTGTACAACTGTTTAGGATCATCTGAAATATTACACTTCAGAGGAGGAAAAAGTTAAACTGCTTTAAGTGACTCTGAGTTGCATCTTTAGTCACACTCTCCAAAGCCTTTCCAACTACTGATGTAAGATTAACTGGCCTATAACTGTCTTGGGTTAATATTAGTCACTTCCAATCTTCTAATACTCTTCCACTACTCAATGACCCATAAAAATATTAGCTAGTGACTCACAAATAAAATCTTTAAGTTCATTTAAAACTCTGAGATAAAAGTTGTCTGGTCCAGGAGATTTATCAGTTTTGAGGTTTTCAAACTTTTCTCTTACAATTTCAGAACTTAAAATGATATTTTTACCATACATTAAGTGCTCTGGTTGAGTCATAATACTTGTATCTTCCCTCGTAAAAACTGAAGAGAACATATAATTTAATAAGTTTGCCATCTCATAATTTTCCGAGATCAGCTCCCCACCATCATTTTTAAGAGGTTCAATCCCCATCCTAACATTTTACTTACTCATCATATACCTAAAGATTCCCTTATTGTTTGATTTAACTCTCTCAGCCAAACCTCTTTCATATACAGTTTTTGCCTTTTTAACTTCCTTTTTAACCAGCTATCTTGGTTTCCTATAGTCCTCTAAGTCCCTACTAATATTTCCAGTAAGTTTAAATTTCTTGAATTTATTATGTTTCATGTTCAGATGAGAGTAGTAACTGCAATACCAAAGAGGATTTACAGAAAATATTACGCGTAATTCAAGTATGAATTTCTATGACACTGATTGAATTGAAGAAAGACACAATGCGATATGCAAAATTGAACTCAATCTTTATTGCAATGCAACACATATCAAAGGAGGTTTTGATAGAAAATGCATTATGGAGTGAATTCGAATTCTGTGACTTCGACTGAGTGTGAAGCAAAGAGACTGGACACAATGTACAACACATTGAAACAATCTTTATTTAATGCCAAAAAACAATGAACGATAAATAATTATGTTTTTTACCACCTTAACTAGAGAACTCTTTAATGTGTCTGAATATGTCTTCATCTATAAATCTAGATGTGAAGTCTGTACCTCTATTCGTTCCATACTGAAAAAATATAGCACTATATATAAGAAACAATAATGCTATTCTTCTAAGAATGCAGGCACTGTCCGCGTGACTATTGGTTATTTCTTTCGCAAATAAAGAGTCCGTATCCTTGAGGTATCACCTGCCTTGTCAATGTAAAAGATCATTCTCTATGTCTACAAAATACGTCCCACGTTTAAGGAATCTTTCGCATGAGAAGGTAAAAGTGAAGTCCTGGTTGAATAACCCAGTTCAGTAAGTACCTAGAGCGAGAGGTACATAGTGGTTCCCTTGACCAACATTCTATATTAAGATTACACATACGGTAGGTACATAGTATGCTTATCACATTAGGAGGAAATCTGGATGAAAAGAGACTGAGCTAGCCATTATATACAAAATCAACAGTGTCATTTCTCACAAAGTCCATTCGCAACCTCCGTCACTAGTGATAATTCCATGAACAAAGATTAGAATCACATATTCCACCTCACTGACGAAATTGCAATAAGTATATACTTCTACACATATACCAAAGGGAAATTACCTATGACTATCTCACAAAATAAAGTCATAAGAATACCAGGCAGATTTCTTTATTCATTAAAAAAACCTATACACGCTCTAAATACATGTACCTCTGAAAATGTTATGTAAATTCACGTTTACATCCAAAGTTACCAGAGGAAGAAAATTTAATACTTTCTCATGTAATAAAAACTAATTCAGATCAAAGTTGTGTTTATGTTGATAGTACCTTGACATTACTTTTAAAGTCAAGGTTGAGGGTTGAAAGTACTAAAAAGGCTTAGACACAATTTAGTATATAAAGTTGCAGAAAATTGTGATGCATTCTAGAACATTTAAAATTAGAAAAGCTACTCAAATGTTGTGCTTTTATTCAAGAGTATGAAAGCCATATTAGGCCTGGTGTAGTTTTTATCTCATAAAATGATGATGCTGTATTAGCGTTCGCTTAGCCTAAGGTGCATAGCTAAATTCGCGTCTTTCTTCTTTAACTCTTCATGTTATATGCAATATACATGGAGATAGAAAAGTTAAAAGTTCTGGTTTCTTTTTTTCCTGTTAATGAGACTTACCTAATGAAGTGGGTGAGTTAGTATTCTGGGAAGTCTTGGAAGAGCAAAGGATTAAATTTAACTTTGCAGGCCTGTCAACTTTCCCGATTTCGGCGGGAGTTCCCGATATGGAGTCCTGTTTCCTGATCTCTCGACACGCGACCAGGATCTACTGATATCAACCTTTTAAATAATTCAACAAAAATAACATTCAAACATGCGAATATAACAAAGAACACTAATCAGAATATGTGTATTTTTTATATTTCAATTCTTACAATAAATGTGTCCCCCCCCCCCAGTGGCACAGCGGTATGTCTGCGGACTTACAACGCTAGAAACCGGGTTTCCATACCTGTGGTGGGCAGAGCACAGACAGCCCATCGTGTAGCTTTGTGCATAACTACAAACAAAAACAAGCAATAAATGTGTATAACAATATTAGCAGATGACTGTGATTCTCTTGGTATATCAGCTCAATGTAAATGAAAACAAAAAACAACATCATTTCAATCTTATAAGTGTAAATATATGTCTGAATTTCCCCAGAATGCATAAAAATTCACCTTTTGTTTTCTAAATTTTCTGGTGGAGAATGCCTCCTCCTAGGGACGTTACTAGCTGTTGCAGTACCTCCACAGAAAATCTCCCGATTTAGCACCTCTCAGTGTTGACAGGTGAGACTTTGAACAAAACAAATTCTTGGTCAGAATTGCTCTTGTAATGAACTTGTGATAGTTTTGCAGTTTTAATAACTTACCTATTGGATCCAGCTCATCTGAAAATACCACACTTTTACTGATATTTGAATATATTTTCGGAAACCTCTATGTGATTTGTAGAAATTAAAAACATAAAGTGAAAGTGTTTACTCTAAATGTGTTCAAAAGTGACAACACAACAGTGAGTATTTCTACAGTCTCTAAACAAATCAATTTTAGAAAGTAGTTATTTAAAATGTTAATAAAATCTGTAACTAGCAACGTTTTAACTTATTTATTGTGTATATCAATTAAACCCAGACTACTTTAATGACAGGTGAATAATTAATACCTCAGGATTGTGGTACTTGCATATAAACTTTTTTAACGTTTAGATAAGAATCTTAGTCTTAGTCTTAGTTCCTCCCGTTCCGTTGGGAACATTGGTCAGCGAGACCTCGCCATCTGCCTCTGTCATGAGCGGTCTCCACCGTTTGGTCAAATGTT